AGCCACAGGCAATTTGATATCATCTTCCACGGTACAGAAACTTGGCATACGCGTGTAACGAAGCCGATGGTACTTCCAGTCTAAAAATTCTTGGAGAAACTACATTCTTCAAGGAAGAAACTTATATTTTGAGGGTTTAGTTAGAAAGATTAAATGTAGACATTCTCGCTGGGATCCCCTTTCTCCCATACAATGACATCACTATCAGACCGGCCCTAAAGCGCATCATTTTTAGTGATGTAAGTTTATTTCCTACTACTTTAAGGAAACTGATCAGTCCCACACAGTTCGAAGGACTATTTTGATGAGAGCTCCAGACAGGAAGACAACAACATGGCCTGGTGAATATCTCGAATTGAACGTGCCATCTGATTATGTACGTGACAATATTTTTGCTATCGAACCGCGCCAGGACACCAGACACCACAATACATCCACTACTACAACATGGCCACCCCCATGTGTACTCCCATGTTTAGCTGGACAAGTAAGGATCCCAAACGCGTCAGGCGTTCCACGAACTTTGAAGCAACATGAACATTTTTGCGAGGTACGGGCTGTATACACTCCTGACCTACGCGAAACATCTCATAACTTGTCAAAACCAAAAGAATGTTCTACTACTTCTTCGGATCTTCATTCTGACAACGTCCAAGTTGACCCACACAAACAAAATCTTACCCACAGAAACAAGAAGATGTTCTAGGGACATGTTAACAGACTTTGATGACGTTTTCAGTTCCATCTGTGATGGCTACAATGGTGCTTCTGGACCATTCCAGGCAGCAGTCAATATGGGCCCTATGCCTCCCCCTCAACGTAAAGGACGATTACCACAGTATTCACGTAATCGTTTCACTGAATTACAACATATGTTCGACGACTTGGAACAGAATATCTTAATCCTTCATTCCTTGTGAAGAAACCTTCTGGAGGATTCCGACTTGTCACTGCGTTTGGCGATGTTAGCCGATACAGCAAGCCTCAGCCGTCTCTCCTCCCTGACGTTGACTCCATTCTTCGTCAAATAAGCCAATGGAAATACTTATTCATCACAGATCTATCCAGTGCATTTTACCAAATCCCTCACATGATTCCATGAAATATTGTGTGGCTACTCCCTTCCGTGGGGTGCGCGTATACGCTCGATCTGCAATGGGAATGCCGGGTAGCGAAACAGGTCTTGAGGAACCAATGTGCCGCGTTTTGGGTGATTTAATCGAGAAAGGAACGGTAGCCAAACTAGCTGATGATGTAGCGTTGTTTATATTGTAATATTCTTTATTGAATAAGTAAGATGTCATGGTCTTTGAGTATTACCGCACAGCTGGGGTGTTAGTATTTATCTATAATTTCAACTGTCTATTGTTATATCTTACATCGCCTTTGATACCCAATGTGCACATGACAGAGACGACACACAGTCGGTATATACTTATCAATAACTTTAGGGGAAGGATTTGTTCAATCTTACCTCAGGTTATATACATGATAAGTGGTTGACCAGTGTTATAAACCCTAACTAACCACAGGGGTTTTAGTCAAATGTCGGGCAGACAAAGGATTCCTTTATTTCAATGACCATCTCGGTAAGGGAATAAATACAACTTAGGAAAAGATATCAGGGTCACTCTTGGGTTAGCGGAGAAACATGTTGCACTAGAGTATGGGAATTCTGGGGGGGGGGGGGGATCTCCCTTTTTGGTTTAGACTTGGAGTTATATTTATTGTTTAGTATTCAGTGTTAGTTAGTTAGGTTATTGGATGTAAATAAAGTGTTTGTTAATATCTTAGCTGCAGTCATCTCATTTGGAAAGTAAATGCATAGCCGAAGTCCGTATCAAGTCTCTTACAAACAACTATACAGTTGTAAGAATGATCTATCTTGCATATTACAAGTAGAACCCAACAAACAAGCCTGTCTACAATGATCTCTATTGTGGTGGTACAACACCAGAAGAGCTACAACAAAACTGGTGCTCGGTGTTAACCGCACTGAAAGCTAACAACTTAAAAGTTATCACCAACTAAACCACTTATAGCTCCACGAAGTGTAAACATTCTCGGATGGCTGTGGCAGGAGGGCACCATACAGGCAAGCCCACACCGCATCGCTACATTATCAACATGCCCCTAACCATCAACCGTATCTGCACTGAGATCCTTCATAGGAGCTTATAAGGTTTTATCTAGAGTGCTTCCACATTGCTCTTCTATAATCGCTCCCTTATATGATATTGTTGCTGGGCGCCAGTCTAGTGAAAAAAGTATGTAGTCTGATGAATCAGCAGCTTCATTTGTTGCCGCACAGAAATCCTTATCCACCAACAAAACGATTACGCTACCCCGACCCGCTGACCATCATAACAGACGTTGCAGTAAAGAAACTAGGTATCTGTTCAACATTGTACCTGGTTCGCAGCGGTAAAACGAAACTTGCTGGTTTCTTCAGTGCTAAGCTAAAGCCGCGCCAAGCATCACGGATACCTTGTGAAGTAGAAGTCTTATCGATTGCTGTAGCAGTTAAGCATTTTAGTCCGTATATAATCCAGTACAGACATAAAGCGCATATCTTAACTGACTGACAGCAAACCGTGTACTCTAGCGTATCGCAAATTATGCCAAGGAGAATTCTCATCCAGTCCACGTGTATCTACATTTCTATCTGTGGTAAGCCATTTGGCCGGGAAATCCAATATCCCGTCTGATTTTTCAAGTAGAAATGTCAGGATAGTACATGTCAGATATGTTCCTTCGTAGAAACACTGAAAGATTGCGTCGTTCGAAACATTGAGGTAGATGATATCCTATCTGGTAAAAGTCGCATACCATTTCTGACGAGAAGCACATGGAGGTCACTACAAGGAGAATGCGCCGATCTCAGACGTACGCATGCACATTTATCTCAAGGGACACGTCCATCAAAAAAAACTCATTAACATAAAGGACATTAAAGATATCTCGCAGTCGCTACTATTTCTTAAGATGGTATACTGGTTGTGAAGTATGCAGACCTTTTACAACCCCCAAGAGAATGTATTGTGGTCCCTCGACAGGTCCTGGATGGTATTATCACTGCATTACACTTACGTCTTAACCATCCTTCGGCATATCAAATGAAAAGGTGCTTCACCGATACTATTTCGCTCTAGATGGATAAGACAATTGAACGAATTTCTTCTTCATGTCAACAATGCGCAGCCCTAAAACAGATTCCAAAGACCAAAACAGAACAGTCTTCTTCCATGCCACCAGAAGTTATTGGAATAACCTTTGCTGCCGACGTCCTACGAAGGGGGCGTCAAATGATACTGACACTGAGAGAATGCGTGTCCTCTTTCACCACAGCCTGCCTCATAGAGGGCGAGACAGCCGTTACATTCAGAAATGCTTTGATCCGTCAATGTATTGAGCTTCGCCCCCTTGACGGTCCACCGTGCGTCATACGTGTTGATGCGGCTCCAGGATTTCAAAGTCTAGCGAATGACGGGTTGCTGCAGAAACACAGAATTTGTATCGAAATAGGAAGGATTAAAAATATCAATAAAAACCCCGTTGCAGAAAGAGCCATACAAGAATTGGAATTGGAAATCTTGCATATAGATCCACGACGTGGACCCATAACATCAACAGATCTTGCAGTAGTGTATGGTATTTGTGGCTTTGTATTGTCGTAGGCCACAGTTTGTAGTTCACTCCCTTTGTTTGTAAGTATCTCCCTTGCTTTCGTTCTCCATGTTGGATATACAATAAACGTTCTCTAAATGATCTGTGTTTCTCCTGGTTTGTCGTGTCATATAAAGGGTTAGCTAACAGTCTAACTGGCGCACCGAAATATCGTGTCTGACTTGACGTTTTACTCTATTAGCTATATTGTGCAACTCGTGCTCATTCTACGGGCTACAGTTCTTTGCAGATTCTTATGATTTTGATTTTGTGTGTTAATGTCATTATGAAGATGATCCCTATCGATTTTTTTGATGATCGGATAATTTTTCACCGAAATATCGTGTCTGATTTGACGTTTCACTCTATTAGCTATAGTTAAAAATTTCTCAGCATAAATAACTCATTGAATTCAAACTATTAAAATGTCTTTGACATGAGACAAATCATACTTTCACTAAATACTGTTTTATCATTTCTGACAGCTGCCAGTGGGCGTATGTTACCTTGGCTGGCAAGCTATCTTTTTTTAATCTCGTAAACAGTTAAAAGCACGATTCTTTTTCCAGATTTTGACAAAACTTGTTAATATCATTCAGTATCGCCCCAAAAAGTTCAAATTAAGTGTATGAATGAAGGTTGAATATTTCATACTGGTAGCCTAATTGTTATGCACTATAGGACTAACTGTCAAATGTTTATTATTCAACATCAAAGCTGCCAGTGGGTTACCTTGCCTGGCAAGCTATCGTTAAAGAAACGGGAGGAATTACAAACTCTGGTCTGTTTAACATTAATTAGATATTTATTTCTTTTTTTTTTAATTGTGCTCAATACACTGGTTGGTGGCTCAGTGAGTAAGACGCTTGCTCGCTAACCTGGTCCAGGTCCGGGGTTCAATCCCGGCATAGGTCGAGATAATACCTTCGGATTTTTCAACCCGGTTCCCTCTGTCAGTGATGCAAGTAAGAGGGGCTGATATGGAAAAAGCGTCTAGTCGTTCGGATGGGACAATAAACCGAGGCTCCATGTGCTACAGGCTGTGCACGTTGAAAATCGAAAGAGAGCAGGCTAATGCCGCTATCCTGGCTATCCTGCGATGTCCGTCTTCATTAGCCCACATGGTGCAATAAAGTAGGACGCAAAACTCCATTCATTTCATTTTCATTTCATTTCATTTCAATACACTAGTGTCTAATCTTTCGCTTTAGATTTTTATGATAATCAGAACATGATGATCTTGAAAATAACGACAGCCGGTATTATAGATGGCGCAGTTGTACATAATCAACTTCCGGTTAAAATTTTAATATTCCATCGACGAGTCTGAATCTTACCATACCATTGTCAATGACTCTGGATTACAGTCATTCTGTATTCTTCACAGTTTTACTCGTTTAAAAACTTCTTAGTTCTTTTTGTCTCAGTCAACTAAAGTGAATGTGGTAAGCTTACTTGAGAGTGCTTTTACTTTCCTTTTAAACTTGATTTTACTGGAATAGTTGCATTGTGCCAGCCCAGTGTCTGTGCTCTGCTGTGCTGTGCCGTGCCGTGCCGTAGTTATTATTTGAAATTGGATTATTGAAGGTTCATACAAGTTTTAAGATTATATTTAGATCTACTGTCATTATGTCTAGAAAGTTATTGACAGATTTTGAATGGGATAGTGATACTGATAGTATTCATACTGGTAATCAAGGTGGTAGGTATTTTATTTTTAGCCAATTTAAAGGAATACTGGACCTAGAAATAGATGAATACAATACCGCTCGGACCAACTCAGCTCACTTTTTACAGGACTCACAATTTTTTACGAGAATGGACCGAATGATGATTATTTTACCAAAAACTAAAATAGACCAAATAATGATTATTTTTCATGACTTTTTACAAGACTCAGACCAAATAATGATTATTTTTCATGACTTTTTATGAGGCTCGGACCAATAATGATTATTTCTGAGACAAACTTGGTCCATTGATTATGCAAACTGGGACCACTCATATTTTGTAAACAAATTGAAAGTACCATGTAAAAAAAAAGTGGGCTGAGTTTGTTATGAAAAGTTGGCCGAGTTTGTCGTGAAATATTTTTGATATTAAAATTTGCATTGGGTTGGATTTGTTTTTGTCCGAGTTGCACTGATTCCTAATTAGATCTTACTCTTAGCATGAACTTAAAATTCATATTTTCACCAATGGCCGATGAAAATTTATATCTTTTACATTACATTAACATTACAACAACAGCCACAGAGCCTCATTCCTTATAGAAGATTTTAGAACCCAGAGTGTAAATGAAATATAACATCATATACCCTGAACTCCAAGTAATAAAAGTAAAAGCGTATACATGACGTTAGTGTTTGGCTGGTAAACCGGCTGCTAGGGTTGAAAGGGTTAAGCTTATAATATATTTATTTTTTAATTCCAGAGATTGAAACTATGGATTTTTTTAGTCCATTAGTGACCATAATTGTTGTGTTGAGTATAGTGGCCACAGTGGTTGTGTTTATAGCCATTATTTGTTGTTGTATTTGTAAAAGAAGATCTTATCAAGGGACTGTCTATAGGCAGGCACCACAGACTACAGCAACAGTAACAACATATCCTCAAGTACCGTACCAACCATCTGCATACACTTCTGCACCGCCTCCAACACATTACCCAGGGGCTATGCCTGCTTCAGGTAAAAGTTAACTATTATTGTCCTGTCCTATTTTTTTACAGCAAAATTGCATATTGTGCATTGAAAGTGTCATCTGCAGTGTAATTGGGGAATGCTTTTTATACTCTGAACTAGATCAATCTTATTACAGATTGAAGCTATATTAGATGCAATCATCTGCTTGATAACTATTTTGCATAATATAACATATAATATTGCATAAATATTTAACATAATATAATAAGGTCATACTGTGTAGATTGTTGATGTATGATTCAAGAAATACACTACCTGGTAAGAATCTGTATGTTATATTATATTTCAGCTCCATATTACCCACAACAAGTGGTATATCCACCTCAACAAGGTTATCAACAAGGTCCATATTATACAGCACAGGCTCAACCATTGATGGCAGCGACTTATCCACAACAAGAAACGAAGAAAGAATATGATGAAGCTCCACCCCCATATTCAGAAGCTATGATGACAAAGGCCTCAGCTCCACCCCCTGAATAAACTTACTGAATACGATATTAATTTAAAGGAATGATTGATATGTTTTAAGCAGAGGTTTTTTATGAATGAATGATTGCATTGTTGAAGTTTGTTGGAAAAATCATGTTTTTGTAAATATGCAAGATTTTAAGAAAGGAATGTTATATAACTGTACATATTTTGATTTAGGCCAATTTTATTTATTTTATTTTAGTGCTTGCTCATTTTATATTTCTTTCGCAATATTTAATCAATTATACATTTTACTGTCCCAATTTAAATGTCTTCAAATTAGTGGGTTTACTCTGAATGTTGGTCAGAGACAGTGAGGTACTATTCATGGAATAATTCCAACGTTTTCAACTTAAAGCTCTGTGGATTCAATTTCTTAGCATTATGCCATCCAGTTATTCTAAGGTTAGCATAAGTTTTTATTTTTCACAACAGTCAGCAAATGGAATGATATTATGTATTTTTCAGAAAATGTTGCATTTTCAGCAAATTTGAGAAATAGAAATCAATCTGTTAGTAGATGTTTTTTACTTTTTCTGATCCTATGATCATTCATATTGGATAATGAAAACTGTTATACAGTGCCATCACCTCTGGGAATTTAGACTTGTTTTTCTGAACACTATTCATGGTGATAAAAAGCATATATGTTCAAACTGATGAGTATGCATATCAAAATGAACAGAGTAAATTGTTAAACATTATGAAATGTGTACAAGGGAATTATTTTATACAGAATATTGTAATGAGATTATTTAGAAACATGAAGTTTTACTTTTACATATAAGTTTTACTTTGTGTTTTATTGTTTGTTTTAATTTTTTAATGAGTTTTTATAAAGGTAATATATTCATATAAGTTTTAGTAATATCAGGATATTTTATCTTATTCCTCCAATACATGCCAAAAAAATAAATGGATGGAGGATGGAACCTTTTCTGTCTTCTCTTACATGTGGAAAAATACAAACTGCAATAAACTTTATTGATTGCCTATGAATATGTATTTATTATGTTTTTACAGTTACATTATTTTAAGGTGAGATAAACATTGGTTTTATTTGGTAATTGTTTTTGGAACATGTAACAATACAAATATATAATCAAAGTTATTTTAAGTTATTGTTTAATGCTCATTTTAACGACAAATTATGTTATTATTTCTATGTTAACCAATGTTGTTATTGGGTAAACCTGAAGGTCTTTACAAGTTTTGTAAATACTGGGTAGTATGACTTAATGTTTACAATTTTATAGGAATATTGTGTAGAATAAATTGCTAAAAAGTTGAAATGAGGTTTATGTCTTACTATTCTGCACCTGTTTTGGCCAGTATTGAAAAAACCAACTAAGTGCCATGAAGAAATTTTGCCAGGCCAGCAGCAAAATTACATGTAATGTCATGTATCAAATCACAGATGTATTAAGCCAGCACTACTTGAGGCCCTGTGATAAATTTGCTAGAGCAGAAAGTAGAAAACATGAATATTATCCGATTATCCAATAATGTAGGAATTTGGCAAGTTTGAGACAAGGTGCATGTCTTCTTAAATATAAATTGGCATATTCCATATAAATACATATCATAACACGGTTCATTATAAATGCATTATTTAAAACATCAGATAAAAATCATGACATCATTTACATATATTAACATATTAAATGATTATTTTATTCAATGTTTTGCCTACATTCAATATGTTATCACATTTAGTAGGTATAGGACAGTTGGAGACGTAAATAACTGAATAATATTCTATTTGAAATATATAGTAAACAAATAGGAATGAAGTGATATTTATAAGAACAGTTGTATGAAATATAGATTAGTTCATGAATACAAAATCAATAGACTTTTAATGATTTGGGCGTATATGGATGAACATCATAAAACAAATATTAGAATAGAGCAGATATCATTCTTTCTTCTGATCAAATAGGTCACTCAAGTTTATCATAATTGAGCGTTCATTTCTACTGCTAGTTTATTTTCATTTTACTGATAAGTATATAAGTGAGGGAAAGGTAAAGCTTCTGTTGGCTGTAACCTGAAAATATATTTATATGGTGTTCAAACCTAGGAATAGATGGGGGATGGTGCCAAATGTGCATTATCAAAACAGTAGAAAATAGAAGAAGCAAATTCTGTTTGCTTGTATATTCTACTGCATCAATAATTCTGCAACATAGCGGATACCATACCTTGACTATTAGGACCTTAAGATAAATTTGATTTTCTTTTCAACTAAAATTTTCAATTAAACTTTTGAAAACTACATATTTCATGTTTGTCAATTCTGAGTTACTGTGTTGTCTCACATGCATCCCCATCAGTCGACTGTGGAATGAAACATTGCTATGATCGTCAGGAACATAATGTAAACCTAGCATAACAATGTAGTTAACAAACTCTTTGAATACGAGCTATAAGTCTATAAGAGGAATAATGTGAAGCCTACAAGTAAACAATGTAACATACCAGTTGTCCTTGCTATATACAGTATCTTTACTATCATAAACATGGAACGTATAAATATGGCGTGACTTATCAGATTTATTATTATTACTTTTATGTACAACTTCACCATGAATTATTACACAGGTACCTTAAAATAGAACAGAGTGGACGAAACTTATAGGAAAAGAAAAAGACAAATATAAATATTACAAGAACTATTGTATTGATAACACCAAACAAATATGCACTATTGGCACATGTTGAAACATTTGACTTCAAATAGCATATTTATAAGTTAAAGGGTTTGTAAAGATGTATTGCGTACACTTGTGACTTCTATTTGCACCAATATGACTTGCATCTGACTTTTGTGGTACTAGATTATGATGCCATTATCACAATTGGTATTTGAGCCAAATGGAGTTTTTGCAATGAGAAGACATATTCTCACGAAAGTTGAAATCCAACTACAAAATATAATAGCGAGTAATCCATGATTTGTTTACCTTTTTTAACCTGTCCAGGAATAAAATCATCTTCATTGTAAGATGTATTTTTACCAGTAAATATTGTATGTGGTTTACCAGGACCTGCATCTGCATTTCTTATCATTCTTCTTTCACCATATAAGCCATCTAGAAATATTGCATTTAAATCTGATTTATATAAGATGTAAAACCAAGCACAGACATGCTAGTTCAGATTTCTTTAACTGAAATACCAATCTGCATACATACATATATATATATAACCCTCATATCACTTAGAGCTAAGTTTACACCTACTTTTATGAGAACCAGGAATGAACCACAGGCAACCATTTTCTAATGTAGCATCTTCTAAAGCTATCCATAAACCGTATAATTTCATAGGATCAGTTTTAAGGAAGGTAGAGTCTTGGTGTGGACTTACTATAAAGAAAAAGTAGCTATCATAAAAATATATACTTTAATATAAACCTACATCAGTTTTTTTTATGGATTACCTCAGTTTACTAGCCAGCAATGTAAGACAGAAAATATTAAACTGTTCTGATGGAAATATATTTATATTTTGCAAGAAGAAAATATGTAACTTACCCTCACCACCAATTCCTGGTTGCTAGAAAAGAAAAATTCAGCTTAGACTCATACATGTATATGTTTAGATCTATCAATTAGTTATTATGCCAAAATATCAAACAATAAGGTTTTTCAACAACTAAAAACGTATGACTGCTCTCCCTTCCAAAAACCTAAGGCCACTCTATCACTGGGTTTGTGAACTCGGCATCCTCTTTGGAGAATCCACATGGCTAAGATTGTTGATTCTGTATATTTATTAATAAAGATGTATTTAAATAAAATCTCAATATTTGATGTTGTTTTGTTATATAGACCAAACTGTTAGATTTAATGAGATATTTTGCCCTATTCTAGCAACTATGACAAAGAATAGAGAGCCCAATGATCAGAGCCCAAGATATTTATTACAGAGTCTTACCTTAAATATGTACATACTCTGACAGACAACTGGATCTTCTAGTTCTAGATGACGTACCACGTTCTGTTGGTAAAAGAGAGATATATTTTTAATGGAATACATGGGTATTATAAAGTCAGTCATGTTAATTATACAGCTTAGTTATAAACATAAAAATTGTTAGATACAGTATAATAGTGAATATAGTGTGCACCCCTTCTTACCCTCCAGTATATCTGGAACAATTTCTGTCACCATAAATAATGCATCTCCCGTCTTGACGAAAAAATCAAAAAAGTTCATAATTTTTAACTATAACTAATAAAAGCTTTCAGGTAATAAGATGATGTTATTGCAAAAATCATATTCCTATGTGATCAATATAAATTTTTGATTTTGTGAGAATTAACTATTTGATTTATGACTATATCAGGATAATTCAAATACCTTGACTTTTTCACTAAAAGTAACTTTTCTGAATGGAGGACTTAAAGTATGTAATGCTGAAAAAATACAAAATATATTACCAGTACCTCTCAAGTTTCATCGTCTGCAAGACAGATCGTCATCATCCAATCAGATTCCTTTTCCTTTCAATAGCATACTCTGTAGGTGATTATCGACATGGTGGAAAACCACCTACTGGAGATTTTTGTTTCCTTGTGTGCCATCCAGTCGTTGAAACTCAAGATAAGACTCTAATGGACGACAAAAGTCTGTGACCAAGACCATAAGTGTAAATGCACCTTTTACAATCTTTCTTAATTGCAAAGTAGATTGTTATAACATTAAAGACTAAAGATTTAGTTTCATTGTTAAAGTAATTATGGTACATTCATAAATATTTTCACAAAACTAGCAGAATATTTCAGTTGCTGTAATACACTTTCATATGTGTGAAATATTAAATACCCATAATACATAGAACAGGTCTTACCATGACCTATTTTATTCAATGATTTCTGTTTATCAACTAATAACTTTCCTGAAATAAATAATGGTCAGTATAAATCTAATCATAGGTTTCATCTCAACAGTGTTCAATTAACCAAGGTTAGGTACCACGTTTCTACCATATTATCATTAGTTATAATGTTCACTAATAATGTTTATCAAAGCCATATAAACTTCATACATTCTTTCAACTTCAAAATCATGTAAGACATCTTCAGTTTCATGAATTGGAACAAAATCTTGAAAACGGAAATCACACCAGATCTTAAGTTCCTTTCAATAATAAACTGATTTAGAAATATGTGCCAATGAAGTACCTTTTTCATCTATAGCTCCTTCTTCAAAAAAAAATCTTATTTTATCCCCACTGCTTATAAAATAATCATTACTAATCTAAAATATAATAAAACTCATTAACATCTCTGAACATTGGGGTTACAATCAAACATACAACACAACATCTTCAAAATAAGCAAAATCATTGATATTTTATGTTACATGTCAGTGCCAGGCATTTCTCTGTGAACCTAGATAGTCAGCACCCAGTTCCCACAGGTCTGTCGATTCCTCAATTTGCTAGTAAAGATCCAAAGTTTCACTGATTATGGTTAATTTTGGTGGATAAAATTAAAGACAATATCAAATAGATGACTGTGATGTGGCAAATGTAAAAGATGCTTACATGCTTGTCTGGATCAGTAGTTGTAAACACAGAAGGACAATGTTCATCAGGTTTCATATCTTCCACAATGTCCCAACATTCTGATCTTAATGACTGAATTTCTTCTTCTGTCAGAAAATCAGGAATAATGGCATAACCATCTTTATCAAACTGTAGTTCAAATAAATTACATTAATCTATTTAAGAACAGCTATAATAACCCAGACTTGCTCAGAATCAATATATGTTTGTTTGTGCCTTTATCTAAGGCTATAGGCTACTATATTTTATGATCAGACCAACGAGAACTAGTTTTCTAATAGTGCATCTAGCCATATTGTTTTAATTTGTTCTAGGTTGTACTTTACATTCTTTTTATTGTTCCTTTCATAGTACATAATTCCTTCTATAAACAGTATCTGGAGCCGCCGTGGCTCCGTGAGTTCAAGATAATGCCTTCCATTTTTTCAACACGGTTTCCCCCTGTCATTGATGCAGGTAAGAGGGGCTGACATCATGTGGATGGGACAATAAACTGAGGCCCTGTGTGCTACAGGCTGTTCACATTAAAGATCTCTCAACAGTTGGAAATCGAAAAAGAGCAGGCTAATGCCACTGTCATGGCAATATTTCCCTCATTGCAGCCTGCACAGAGTAGCCTGTCTACATTAGCCGACATGGTGCAGAAAGGTAGGACGTAAAACTTCATTCATTTAATTAAAAAAAACAACAAGAGATTATTGAGGAAAAGCATATTTTTACATACACCCAACTGACATCTTTACTATTTTTCAAATTACGTCTTTCACTGATCTCTATAATTTACATGAAATATAGAATATGGCAACGTGAACAGACAGCTTTGTTGCAATCGGGTATTCAATATTCAAATAATGTCAAAGGAACAAACCTGCTCTTTATCAAATAATTTCGACATCTTCGCTATATAGGACAAGAGTACAGTTTTAATGTTATTCGTCCTTGACTTATAGCCACGACCTTGACATTTCACTTGTTTATCTTGGTCATAGGAGTTATAGAGTTCTTATTATATAAGTCTATGATATTGCCATTGTAATAATGTACTCATACAGATTTATGAACTTGCATAAAATGATTGCTAACCGGACAAGGCAACATCGCTCACGGCAATTATGTTTTAAATTGGAGTGAAATGCCAGACAATTTTAAGCTATCGATGTCTTTACAAAGATAAAGATTTGAAATTGTTATATGGATGAAACTTGGATGCTCGACCAACCGTTCAAAAAGTTAGGCCTAGGCTAGATCAAAGGGAGCAGGGGTATTGAGAACTCCGCGCATCATCCTTTCGCACAAAACAGCGCACTTGCATATTATATTTATATTATATATAAGATTTGCAAAAATACAAATATTTTCAGATGGTTTTAACCATTAAAAACTTCTCAAAGTAGGCCTAATGATCTCTGTAAATTTGTAGTTCTGAACAAATGTGGTAGGATCCTCCTTCTATCTTATCAAATAAGACAAGAATTTCTAGAATAACAAAAGGTTAATCAATTATTTAAAATTAAAAATGAATCATCTTAAAAAGATCTTGTAAGGCTACATCACAGTTAATTTTTTATAATATTGATTAAGATAATTAAATAAAGAGGCTCTAACAGTGACACAATTTAATAAATTATAGTAGTGCTTTTGAATGGATAAATGAATAAAATTCCCCTACGTTAAAGTTTTATCCAGATATAGGCCTACCATATCTTTCAAGAACGACCTTCATTTTGTAGATATTCTATAAAAACAAATCACGGAGTGCGAGTACTTTATTTACATGAAGTTTGCAACAAATATTTGACTTTCCGTTCTTTTTAACACATTATCGAGTAGCCAGTCCCCTTTTGTCAAGTGGTAGTTTTTGGGAAATTAATGACTTCAACGTGTGGAATTTGACCAAAAAAAGACCCCGATTAATTCGGATTAATGAAAAAGAAGATAAATAACTATTCTTAAAGCCTTGACGTCATTTATTATTCAAAGGTTAAAGTTTAATTGATAACTTAAATGTCATGAAACACCAACGCTATAATCATCTTTTAATAGACTGCAATTATACACGTTAATTCTACATTTAACCTTTAATTTCAGATTTTGACATTTAATTCAACTTCAGTCACTTGTTAATCCCTTCATTATCTCTGAACCAACTGAATATTAGTGGCAACTGCATGTTTTGAAGGCCCAACTCTGTGAACAAAACTAACCTTCTAGGTACTGACCAAGTTGCACCCGTTTCTGAACAATCCAAGCCAACCGACAGATGAAGATGGAAAAGTCGTGGTATTTATTGACTTGTTTTCTGTCGATAGTAAACGGATTTCGATTTCCAACACCAAGTACGTTATTTACTGAAAATCATTTAAAAGATGGTAAAATTTAATGCAATCCACAGCTACCAAAGATGCACATTGCAGTCCAACCAAAATTTTCTTATTCGGAGACTTGTTGATACCCACAACGAATTGTTCATGCTTTTCAGTACAGTACTTTTACAGGCTCATTTTGTTTATTTTATGTTTTATCTAAACTGGAAAGTTTGAGTTATTTGTTTAGACTTATTATATTCTGGGATAGTGCGATGCGAGTAACTTAAAAATTAATTTCGGAATATATCAAAAGATGATACTGTACCCAGAAAAAAATCAGAACTTTAACGACCTGTTAGACCTGTACTTCCTTGACATAAAGCCTGTTTTTACATTCTTACGAATTGTTCCAATTTTAGTAGATTAGAGTTTTATTATCTATTATAAAGGATATCACTTTTCGAGTCACTAGCTTTAACATTCAGGATAATAATGATAAAATCTGTACTATCTCTGATATTATGTCAATAACTCCAGTTCTTAAATAAGATACAGTGGGACCTCAAGGTACCGATATCTTATCTTTCAGATGAAGGACCACTACTGGCAGTTTTAGACTTCAACAAACGTTTACAAGTTTTGAATACCACATCTGCAAAACGTATAGCAAAAATTGGATTACTTGGTGGAAATAATGGTGCTTCGGCTAATATTAACTTTAACTATGAGGATGGTCTTATTTATTGGACAGATGTTTCTAGTAAAAAGGTTTATAGGTAGGAAAACATGCTATTGATATTGCTTAGATATTGGATCTCAACAAAGGCAACGAAATGAGAATTATAAAATACAAGACATTTCCAATTATACAACTGTCTTCGCACATTCGTCGATACTAAGAACACACTTAGCTTCCAGAAATTCCAACCTGAAATGTCACGAATTTTTACTGAAAATTGTCCACTGTAAAAACAAATTTAAAAGTGATAATGAGTGCTCATATTTATATTTTCATCAAACCAGTTCATTCTTAGAATAATGGTTCTATCTTTAAGCAGATATTTCAATTCTAACAAAAATGATCAGCAAAATTCTACTTACCAACGAATGTGCGTAGAAAACAGAATACGCCAATACTAACGCGATGTAACACTAAACACTATTAACATGTCTTGAAACATTTTCCAGAGGAGAAGGATAACGTCTTAATTGAGCTCATTACCCCATTGAAAGTTTAAGTTATTGATATGTTGCAGTCTAAATGCTGAAACTGGTGAACAGAAAGTGATATTGGAAGGCGATCTGAGATCACCAGAAGGTTTAACATATGACTGGATACATAAGAATTGTTATGTTTGTGATCCATTTGGTAATAAAATAGTAGTATTTAATACTGTAACTGGACTGAGGAAAACATTGATTGAGGTTGAAAATCCCAAAGATGTGGCTGCCGATCCCAGAAACGGGTACGTATGATACTTTACAACTGGCTTGAAATGGTAACCACTCACCTTTGAAATTATTTGAATATTATGCTTAATTTTGTTATTCAACACTCTCTAATAAACGTCAAATATATATATCGGGACTTGTCTAGAGTCCGAATATTTCAATTACAGATGGCTATATATTGCACATGGATGGGAGAGTACAGCACGCATATCCAGGTCGGGTCTAAATGGTGAAAATATGCAAGAATTAACTGCAAGACTTGAAATACCCTACAGCATTAGTTTAGGTAATTCATTTAGATTTTTTCATATATTATCATATATTGATGATCCTAATAATTGAATAAAAAGAATTGATATATCGCTATAAGATGTTCCTTTTGACCACATGAAATATTGATACCTCTATATGAATTATAAAGGTTTCGTTTTCCAGAGCAAGTTTGTGATTGAAGTAATAATGCTGTTCTTATATTTCACGGCCATAGACAAAATATTATCATGATTCTCTTGAATATAACATGATATTACCATGATGTGAATTATTTATTTGAAGCAAAACAAGTTTCTTCAGGTGATTAACCTTATGAATTTTGAGGATAGTCTTATCATTGCCTATATATGACTTTGAGTTCGTGTATAGTCAGTATTGTCAGTTGAATCAAGGTTATTTTGTGTGAAAGTTCTAGAGTACTAGAATTATTCGTACATATTTCTACTAACGTTACAAATTATTTTCTTACAGATTTTGTCGGAAACAAATTATACTATACTGATTGGAATAAAATATTAAGTATGAAATTAAATGGGGAAAGAATAAGAACATTTTACAGGACATCAGGTTATGACTATACTCCCAACACTATGACAGTGTCTCGTGTAAGTAGCTTAATGAATGAAAAATAAAACCAGTTTGCAAAGTATACTTAAAATGATCGGGAATTCGTTTTATTTCTGAAAAAAAAAACACTACCAAGATACCCTTTTCTCTAGAATGACTAGCGATAGACCACAATGGTGCTCTGTGTTCCAGAATGATCGACGTGGTATTATGTAAGATATGCCAAACTAAAATAGAAATTCCTATATCATTGAACATTATAGGAATATGTATTTTGGACGACTTCTATAGAAGAACAAGTCAGAAGAAAAAAGAAACGTGGTTCAACTAGAATTATAAAGTTTAATGCTCTAGAAAATTATAACCGATACAACAGTCAAACTGATAGTTATATGGGAATTGTGGCCATTCATTCTCAAAACCAACCTGCTAGTAAGTTAATTATGTTTTATACCCCTTTGTTTCATTATCTCTTTTAGTCTAAATCGGCAAAGTTCAATTGTAACATCCCATTCCACTAAGACGCCTTGAAATTGTTTACTATTAAAGAAAGAAAAGAAATAAATGAAACGAATCTGTGCAAAATATTATAGAAATCTAGTTAAATTATGTTAATTTATTCATATTTCAATATTTTCAGCTGCAAGTTTATGTGGTGATAATAATGGTGGATGTTCTCATTTCTGTTTACCATCACCAGTTGACCTTCACCTTTCACCATCTTTTACTTGTCACTGTCCTGATGATATGGAATTGACTGATGATAATAAAACTTGTGACTGTAACATGTAGTCCGATAATCACCAACGTAAATTGACTATCTATAATGTAATTTGTAATTCATAATTTTTACATTTTCATAATGTCGTAAATGCTGATAATAAATAGCTGTATTTTTTGTAAGGGACATCCAGTATCTTGGTGGACCCTTAAATGGTTCAGCTATGTATAGATACCAACATTTAGGCGAAATTTGCTTTTTAACATTAAAGTGAAAATTCTCAAAAACTAGCTACCCAAAAGTGGGTCGGAGCAACTGCCATTTAAAGTAACATATTTTGTCTGAAGTGATACTTCATTCTTATATCACGTTAAAGGAACGGGTATAGCCAGAATTGTCGTGCTTGTCTGTTCTGGCGACCAAACACTAAATACAGCAGACATATCACAGTCGCAAATTCAAAAAACCAGAACCTTGTTCTTAGCAAACTAAAGCTATTTAGTATATAACAAACTAACCCCTCACCCGTGCGACGAGTTATTATTTTATCTAATTACTGATCAGAACAGAAGAATAATCCGTAACAGTTCCAAACCGCTTAGTTTAATTTCTAAATGAGTATTTATTCCAACCTAGACCTGTACATTTGAGAATCAAACGCTTTCTTCACGAAAACCAAAATGATGTAAAAATAAAAAAAAGTTACGTTAACAAGGTTTGGAAAGCAGGTTTTAACAGTTGAAGAATGAAATTTTATAAACATACAACAATATCACTGTTGCTTCATTTGAGACTGTGTCACTTCCGTTGGAATATTAACCAATCATTTCTGATGCTGAATAGTGTAATTATGTTATTTACAATACTTTAAATTGACCTTTGGTATAAAATATTAGAGTGCATTCTACAGTCAGTTGGTATACATAGCAGATATGAAGTATATTAGTTTGATTCCAGTGTTTCTGTGTTTTCTAAATTCAATAACATCTATCACATTTCCTAGCACTGGTAAGTCTCTTACTAATTGTCTTATTGGAATCAAAGAAGATATTATATTCCTTACACACATTTGTGGATTTGTTAGTCTATAAACTATAATAAGAAGAATTAGATTGTGTTTTATTTTACTTGTTTATGGCTTCAAAATTTACAGAACAAATTGTTATTCAACGATAATATGTAATTCTTATAGAAGATGGTCCTCAGATCGCAGTACTGGAGTTCAAGAAGGTTATGAAAGTTTTCGACCCCGAAGCTTCCGAACAGGTTGAGAGCATCAGTTTAAGGGGGAGAGGGGGGACGGCTTGTTTGGATTTTAACTACAGGAATAATGAGATATATTTTACAGATTTATTTTCAAATCAACTTATCAAGTAAGAGTTTGATTTTGTATTATCTCAGCGAATACCAGTTTGAATGTAGAATGAATAAAATTATGTCTGCTGCACTTTGTTGAATTAACAAAGATGTTCTACATCTATAAACTGGCTCTTTATTTTATTTATATGTGTGCGTATAAAAGTCGTCGCTCCTGTTTGTCTGTCAGTCCGTCTGTCTGTCTATCCACAAAAAATTGTTGATGGATTTTGACAAAATTTGCAAGTCTGTTATGACGTAAGGATGAATCATATTAGACAAATCGAAAAATATTTGATATGCGTTATTGCCCTTGTTTTTGAAAAAGTTTTAAATCGTTAGTCAAATTGATATTACGTAATTATATTAAATATTACTTACTCGAAACTTCCCAACAAAGATCAAATAATGCAACATACAAATACCTAGATCCTTAATGTTTCATATACTGATAACTCTTGTCAACCTCACGGTCAACTTGTCCACCATTACAATTGTGGGCGTATCACGATGGTCATCGTTATGTTTTAATTATCCGGTTTTTTTTTACCGGACACTTTAACCAGCCTCTCTAACTAGTATCACTGATCGAAAATCACTGAAGATACTATTTCAACCAATACTAGAACCGAATGCCGGACAATCACATTGTGGAGCTCTTTGAATAACTTGCTTTTTCATTGATTTCTTCATTAAAGGCTGAAAGCAGACGGAGGTGAACAGAACCAAAAAATAATCTTCGATTACGAAGCAAGAGCATCACCAGAAGGTATCGGGTATGATTGGATACATAATAATCTCTACTTATGTCTGTGGGGAGATGATCATATTGATGTATTGAAATCAGATACTGGTGAAAAAATCACCCTAATTAATACAACCAAACCTCGAGATATTGAAGTCGATCCTAGATCTGGGTAAGCATTAGAGACAATTCTGGAAGATTAGTACATTCAATTTCTTCAATACGGTTCAAAATATCATGTAACAAGAATAATAACCTCTATCAAATTTTAGCAAGAATGTCAAAAATAGTTTATGAGCTGATAATTACAAGTATATTTTTAGGTGGATGTACTATATTGCTGGCTGGGAAGAAACAGCTAGACTAGTAAGATGTGGTCTGGATGGTCAAAATGAAGAAGTATTAACCACTGACATAGAGCGTCCATTTTCCCTAAGTTTAGGTAGCTATTTTTCATGCTTAACCATGTCAAGGCAAACTTTCAACGGCCAGAATTGATATTCAGTTTCATAGACTATATTTCAATTTTAAAATTTTAAATTTTATAAGGATTGTATATCATATCAGAACTAATAGAAGAGCAAAACGAATCCCTTTGAACTAAAATATTCTATTATTATTTAAATCTTTAGGTCGGTTAACCTCTTTCAACTCTCAACCTGTAGCAATCTATCTGTAATGTTTATAACATGGCAAACTTCTACAACCTAGATCAACATCTGGTGGAAGGTGGATATTTTGGTGGGGCAGTTCGTCAATTTTTGAATTAATTAGTATAAACAAACGATTACAATTGTTGAAGAGGCTGAGTGTATATCTTCATCTCACATTATCTTGCCTGATGATCAGAGACAACTGAAGAAACCGAAAAACGAAGCCAAGACACTCTGGGCTATGAAATTTTTGTCTCTATCCTTGAATTATTCCTGTTTTGTTATATAGAGTCAAGGATATTTCTTTAGATTTACCACAAGCTTGTCTTCAGCTTCAACTGACTATTTAGCTAGATCGTCACATTGATCATGATCTTCCAACACATCAGTTTTTACCGTGCCATGCATATTTCCTTGTCAATCGCCATTTTGATCAAAAGAGTTAAAAATTACCAGTAGCAACTTGTAGCACAATTAAGATTCTGAATGCTATTAGGTTTCAGGATGAAAGAGATTTCAGCTTGGAAGTTGAAAGATGTTGCAGAACATGTTTAGATAGCACCTCTTTCAACTTTCTGTAATATGGCACCGTCAACCAAAAAATTGAAATAGGTTGAAAGAATAAGGTTACCTGTGTAAACTTACCTTAATTACAAAGCAACTTTTGGTTGAATAACAATCAGCACAATTTTCCACAAAATTAACTTCTGTTGGTCATGATCAAAAAGGAAGAAATTCGTGTATTAGTGAAAATGTATATTATTTATTTCTAGATTATTCGGAAAATAAGTTATACTGGACAGAAAAGTATCCGGTGAATAAGCTCTATAGTATAGATTTAAATGGTGAAAACAAACGCGAATTTCTTCATACTAGTTATAGTTACGACCTATCACCATCTTATTTGACCGTGTCCAGGGTAGTTTTCACTTTATTTTATTAAAAATATATAATTTGTTATCTTTAGGCCCGTGAATGCGGCAACCCAAGCGTCTATCAACTTGGTGAAACATTCTTTAATCATCGAAGGACGAATACTGGTATCAAATTAACTTCAAATGTGTAATAGTGTGCTAATTGTACACTCCTCACAATAATATGCATCCATGCGAAAAAAATATTATATAAATGTATGTAAAAATAAGTGCAGAATCGGATAAAGGGCTAAATATGTTCTATAACTCACGCAGCGACCGTCGTATAAAATGATCAAATATATTGTCTACCATAATATATTATTATGAATCACTGCTATAGAATTTACAACTTTTAGGAATACGTTTACTGGACAGCTGGTTACAAAAGTAGGGTGTACAGAAGACTAAAGCATGGCGGTACTCAATCACAGAGATACAATAATCTAGAGGAATTTGGCAACTACAATATCAGAACAAATCTGTTCATGGGAATATTAGCTGTAGATCCACAAAAACAACCAGAAAGTAAGTAATTACTGCTGACTGATGTACTCGATGGTAACAAACTGGAAACAGTGGTGGACCTGGCCTCGTGGAATTGGGGTACAATTGGGGTAGACCCAATAATGGGAGGACACCTTTCTAGGTAGAGTGCCTCCCGCAAATGTATAAGGGAACCTTCTGACACATTGTGGGCAAAAACGGCACTGCAAAGAAACAACGTTGTGTGACCTAGAAGATTAGGATTAGCTCCAGTTTCCCACCTCATTGAATTCTAATCCATTGAAATCTGTAATTCACTTCAAGAGTTTCGAATTTATTGCATGTACCACAACATGGTATTTCATTGGTGTTGGTATTTTATTGGTTATAATTTCCAAACTTGTGTATTTTAGCTGCAAGCTTGTGTGGTGATAATAATGGTGGATGTTCTCATTTCTGTTTACCATCACCAGTTGACCTTCACCTTTCACCATCTTTTACTTGTCACTGTCCTGATGATATGGAATTGACTGATGATAATAAAACTTGTAACCAATAGATAGTGCGTTAATCACCAACGCCAATTGACAACTTGCAATCATAATTTGATTTTTATTGTTACAGTAAATGATTATAATAAATACTGGTATTTAATCCATTCATTGATTTATTTTGTATTAAATGTTATGAATACTCTTTTAAATTTCACTAAAAGCGGGATTTTAATTTTTGAACCCCTCAGTTGTAATGCTCAGTTTACACCAACGGCGCTTTGATGGCGCTTTAAAGCGGCGTACAAAGCGGTACCAAAGCGTAACAAAGCTCGAATAAAGCGCCAGGGTCGTAATAGATCGTTGGAAAGCTTTGAGCAAAGCTGGATATTCGGCAAGAGCGCCAAATAATTTTATACTGTTTAAAAAATTTTGGCGCTCTGTCACAAATTTATTAAAGCGCCGAGAACGTATCAAAGCTTAACAAAGCGTAACAAAGTTCAGGAAAGCTTGACTCAAAGCGTATATAGTTGCTTTTTTTCGAGTGCGCGAGCGAACGAATGAATGCTTCCAGAGTGAATTTTTCGTAGGCGCCGCAATGCTGGATGGGCTGGGCCAGTTTCTAGTCGAGTCATTCAACTCGATACATTCAAATTAAACTTTCAGTGTGACCCGTGACCTCACACATATTAAAAGTTGCAAACACGATACTTATAGAAACTATAATGGAGTGTACTGAAAAAATAATTCTAGAAGCCCAGAACAGAAAAGTCTTTAGTTTTTTCATGATGAATTTTCAAATAATCTTAAAAATATTTATAAGTCAAGGCAAAATAGTTCATCAAATAATCACCGAATTCAAACATCGACGTATATACTGTTTACAAGGGCAATAACTCTTGAATCGTTCATCCTTTTGATACCAATGTCGAACTCAACTGAGATCTCATCAATATATAGAGCGACAATTTTCCCTGAGTTTAGTTAGTTCTAATATTTGAAGCTTTAAACCTTTTCGTTTATAAACAAAAGTAAAATATATTGTATCAATATCAAGCAATCTTTCCATAGAAAATACGTACATAGAAGATACATCATCTCAGAACTGGTAGAAGAGTATAACGAAATGTGCACAATTGTTTTTTAATCCAATTGCTTACTTGCTCTCGAGGTACCTGAAACGTGTAAATCGAGCGAGGAACGTCTGTGATAAACAAAAATGATTCCTATGGAACAATCTGGTCCAGTTGAAATAACAATCCTTGTAGAAATGGGGGTTTAAGAAAGACATATTCTCGTATTAGTGAAGTAATGTATTGCACACGAGCTCCTTTATACCTTTTCTGGTATAATTAAGTCACAAGTTTTACGATTTCATCGAATTTGTACAAGATCTTCTGTTTTGAACCAAGCCTGTACGATTGTTTTCTCAAAACTGAAAGAGCGTGGGTACTCTAAACGATTTTTACGAAACATAAAAAATTCCACCTTATCACAGATAACAGCTAAAAACAGACTTTATGCCGAAGTACCTCCAGGTTTAAGAAGTGCTCCATGTTTGTCCAGTAGATGCAAAACATGTCCCTTTATATCAGAAACTCATTATTTTGTAATCAACTCTACGAATAAAAGGTACCCGATCCAGGAACATCTAACATGTGAACATTCGAATGTAATATATTTAATTTCATGCAAGAAATAGCCCAAACAATATGTAGGAGAAACTAAGAATAATTTACGAACTCGCTTTAATGCTCATAGGTCAGACATCAAATTAAAGAAAGACAAACCTGTTTCTAATCATTTCAACCTCGACGACCATTCAATAGACGATCTCACCCTAATCCCAATTGAGCGTATAGAAATTGACTTGCCCGAAGATGAAACTACCAAATTCCGTCAATCTAGGGAAATCTATTGGATTGAGACATTGAATACAGCAAGACCTATAGGACTAAATATTCATCATAATGTAGGCATAACACCCTTTGTTGTCCCGTTTAATACAACCAGCAATCGAGCAAGCAAGATAGTTTATGCCCACTATAAGAGCCTTCAAGAGAAATTCCCCCATGTCTATAAGCAGAAAATGATAGTTGCATATTCAAAAAATAAGAACTTAAATGATAATATTGTTCATAGTAAACTAAAAACAATCAGTACATAACAGATACTATACTTCTCGCCCATCGGGCGAGTTATTTTTTCTAATTTCAGATCAGAATAAGAACAGAAGAAAACCCAATATCAAGACCCTTAATCCTAACTTCTAAATAAAGTGTCTGCTCCACCCTAGGCCTGTACATTTGGGAGAATCAAACCCTCCCTTTCCCGAAATTTAATATTTTTAAAAACAGTTCATACTGAATAGAAAGCTACTCTTGATAGTATAATATTAATACATTTCATATAACAATAATACAAGTGTACACTCAAAATTTAATACAATTCTGACATAAACTGTCACCTCTATCGCGCTCACAAGACAACAAATTTTGATAGGTTTTTACTAAGTCAAGGGCAATAACTCAAATTCTGTGGATCGAAAAATTGTCAAATTCAAACTTGACTAAGGTCACATCCTTATAAATGATCACATCAAATTTAAATCGAATGAGAACTGTAGTCTCTATTGTGTTCACAAACAAATTTTGACGTGTTTTCCTAAGTCATGAGCAATAACTAAAACACCATTTATCGTAAAATCGTCAAATTCGAACTAGTCCAAGAACTCATCATTATAAATGATCACACCGAATTTCATTAAAATCAGATAAACACTGTAGTCTCTATTGCGTTCTCAAACCAATTGTGGACCGATGGACCGGCGGACGTACAGGGGCGACGACAAGATACGATCACATTATTATGTGGGCGTATAAAAACAGTTTCACTGTTAAAATAGTGCGCAGTACTCGTTCTACAATTGATTATTGAGCACTATTTTAACAGTGAAAATATCTTATCATTGTATAATCCTCCTTATTAGTAGAGCGCTCGGTTTCCAAAAATGGAACAACCGAAGAGAGTTACATTTAATTACTCGTTGAAAAACATCCCTACAGTTTATATTACATATTTGCCATAAAACTGCTGCTACTGAAATTTAATCTTTTTAGGACTAGGTTTACTGGACAACCGATCATAAAAATACAGTGAATAGAAGACTAAAGCATGTCAGTAATCAATCACAGAGGTACATCAATCTGAAAGAATTCGGCAACTTCAATATCAGAACAAACCTGTTGATGGGAATATTAACTCTAGTTGCACAAAAACAACCTGGAGGTAAGTAATTATTCTACTGGCTGATGTCATAACCACGAAACAGTCTTATGGTATTTTGAATACAAATAGGGGAAAAAGGGATTATGCGGGATTGCCAACCTTTGGGATTAAGATTCTAAATGCGGAGCAATATATCCACCATGATAACAGTTGGTTTGTAAACAGGACTAAATGTGATTTGGACAATATAACACACTAATCGGAACAATGTTCACCATTTATCCCACTGGCTTAACATTCTGTTTGTTTTCTTAGGATACTAAACCTAGCATACAGTTTAAATTCTGATTGGATGAATATTCAAACAAACCAATCAGAAGTTCAGTATTTCAAACAAGAATCTGTCTCCATGAGAATCAAACAGGCTTTCTGGCCACTAATCTCTACCATTCGATCTTCAATGCTATTGGTGGGCTACAAGTGAACACTTTTCACCTATTCTGTTGTTTCAACAGATTCAAATCTTTTCCTTAACAACATAGGTTGTTTACACCACCATTAAGGATCTCAGCATAAATTCAAAATAAGAAAGTTTTGGGGTAGGTTTTAATGATTTTTTTTTACTGAATTTAAATCAAACCATTATTTTCTGAAAAATTCTTTAGTTCAGTTGATCATTATGTCTCTTTGTTAATGAGCTTCAACCATTACTTCCATGGGGTCCAATAACACAGAAGCAATTCAGCATTTGGGTAGATTTATACGATGTGGGACTATTAGTATCTTCAAATTTCTCTTATAATCCATTGTATGACGTCATTGATAAGGCCAGTAAGAAGCAGAAGAGTTTCATGTTGGATTTTACTTTTATTTTGTCTATTATTTTATGAGAATTGGATTAGCAACCTAAAAAAACTTCTGTGTTTCTATTATAATGTTAACTTATATTTTTAACAACCCAAAGACATTCTAAGACTATACTATTTTGAGGTTGGTATTCCAATTCTCTTTAAAAATATAGAAGAACATTTTTTTAAACTTTTTACCTTGCTCAGACAATAAATATTTTATTTCCATGTCAACTCAAATGGAACGAAACAAAGTATACGAAGAAGATACGCCTAATAATTCGAGTTATGAAAAATACAACGGAAAACAAAAAATATTGAAAAACTAGCGTCATTAGGAAATATTGTAAGTTTGCACTTATTCTCATAAGAACTGTGGGGCAAAACTTTGCTGCTTTTCATATTCCCAAATATTGTTGTAGGGCGTATAACTCTTTCAGGTCTTACTGTTGCTATTTTAAGAGTTGCAGGATTTTCAGACATTGTTGGAACAATTGAAGCTTAAAATTTCCTAAAACACATACAATGCCCAGAAAACTTCTTAACAATTTTATTTCTAATGTTAGGCTTAGATGTATTATAGTTTATTTTTATTTAAGTGATCTTAACCAACTGTTTTTCACCATGAACTATTGGACGGTATCAGAGATAACCTGACAGAACATTTGACTGTTCTCACATTGTAAACCAAGAATACTACAAATATACAGATTTCCGGTAAGTAAAGAATGGTAGATTCAGGTAAGTGGTGGTATTGTATTATTTTCAAAGTAATATAAATTATATTCCTAACCCAATGTATATCCGAAATACAATAATACGAAATATTTTCAGTAACATTAGGCCTATGATATTTTACAAGAAAATCAGTATGCTAATAATATACACTGTCACAGAACTATACATTGTCATCATAACTTGACATTTTTCTTATAACTAGTCTCGTCATTGAGAGTTTCAAAGAAAAGATTTCTTCATTCTGAAGATGCATTAACTTAAACAGATGACAATGATTAGTAACTGGTGTTTAATTATGACCAGGGTTAAAAAAAAAATCGATTTGAGCACCTCGTTGTCCTTTATTGTTGTATTTC